GTTATTAGCAAGGTCTTTGAGTCTTTGATCAACAAATTCCTCACATTTCATCTTGAGTCAAATAAACTGCTGTCAGACAATCAATACGGTTTTCGATCCTCTCGCTCTACGGCCGACTTGCTAACTGCTGTAACTGAAAGATTTTATCGTGCATTAGATGGAGGCGGTGAGGCTAGGGCTATTGCTATCGACATATCTAAAGCTTTCGACAAAGTTTGGCATGCTGGTCTTCTCCATAAGCTTGCTTCATATGGTGTTTCTGAGAAAGTTTTTGAGATTATCAAATCATTTCTTTCTAACCGGTTTATTAAAGTCATCCTTGAAGGCCAACACTCTTCTTATTTCCAGTACCTTCTGGGGTTCCCCAAGGTTCCATCCTGGGCCCTGTTTTGTTTCTTATCTACATAAACGATCTTCCTGACAACCTTTCATCTAAAGTAGCTCTTTTTGCTGATGACATAACTTTATACTCCTGTCTTGACAAAAAGTCTTCTCTTTTCGATCGCCTAGAACAAGCAGCTGATCTTGAATCTGATCTCACTTCAGTAATAGATTGGGGTTCACAGTGGCTTGTGAATTTCAACTCTAAAAAAACCCAATTGCTTACTGCAAACAACTACCGTAATATGGTCAACATTCCTATATTAATGAATGGCAATCCTCTTACTGAGTCCTCCTCTTTACGTCTTCTTGGATAATCGCTTACTACTGACCTTTCATAGAAACCATATATACCATCGATTGCTAAATTAGCTTCTGCTAAGGTTGCTTCTCTTTATTGTGCTCGCCATTTCCTTACTTCTGATTCAATTCTTTACCTCTACAAATCTCTTATTCGTCCCTGTATGGAATACTGTTGTCATATTTGGGCTGGTTCTTCTAACGATTCACTTTCTCTTCTTGACAAGGTCCAAAAACGCATTGTAAATGTTGTTGGACCTGGACTATCTGCTAAGCTTGAACCTCTTTCCCATCGTCGTAAAGTTGCGTCTCTTTCTCTTTTCTACAGATACTATCATGGTCACTGCTCAAAGGAGTTATCATCTCTAGTTCCATCAACTAAAATTCATTCTTGTTTTACTCGTCATTCAGCTAAGTCTCATTCGTTTACTGTATCTGTCCCTGCATGCTCTAAAAACTTTTATTCATCTAGTTTTTTTCCCCGCACTTCAATCCTTTGGAACTCTCTCCCATCTTCATGTTTTCCTGACTCATACAACCTTCAACTTTTCAAGTCTTCTGTCAACCGTTTCCTTGCTCTATAACTCTATTCTTTTTTTTTCCTAGTAACTCCCAACTTAATAGTGGTTGCTTGCAGCCTTGTTGGGAGTGAATGCAAATAAAAAAAAAAAAAAAACTTTATCTCTCATCTCGAATCTCATAACCTACTTTCTGATCATCAATATGGATTTCGATCTTCTCGTTCTACGGCTGATTTGCTATCAGTAATAATCGATAAGTTTTATCGCGCATTAGATAAAGGTGGAGAGGTTAAGACCATCGCTCTTGACATTTCTAAAGCGTTTGATAAAGTTTGGCATGCTGGTCTTCTCCATAAGCTTTCTTCTAACTGTGTATCTGGAAACATCTTTAAGATTATTAAACCATTCCTTTCCAATCGTAGTATTAAAGTTGTCCATGATAGCACTCTTCTTCTTATTCTGTAACCTTAGGGTTTCTTCAAGGTTCAATCCTTGGCCCTATACTCTTTTTAATTTACATTAACGATCTTCCAGATATTCTCACATCTAAAGTGGCATTGTATGCTGATGATACTACCATTAATTCTTGTCACGATAAGAAGCCAACTCCCTCTGATTGCTTGCAGGGAGCATCTGAGGTTGAAAAGGATTTCACTTCTGCTACAGCATGGGGCTCACAGTGGCTGGTGAACTTTAATTCAGATAAAACTCAATTTTTTTCGGCCAATCGTTATCGCAATAATATAGACCTTCCTATATTTATGAACGGTAATGTACTCGATGAGTCTCCTACCCTTCATCTTCTAGGATTAACTCTTACTTCTGATCTTTCTTGGAAACCTTATATCAAATCCGTTGCAAAATTAGCATCTGCTAAAGTTGCTTCTCTTTATCGAGCTTGTCACTTTCTTACTCTGGATTCTATTCTCTATCTCTATAAATCTCAAATCCGGCCTTGTATGGAATACTGTTGCCATATCTGGGGCGGATCTTCTAATGATGCCCTTTCTCTTTTAGACAAGGTGCAAAAACGCATTGTAAACATAGTTGGAACTGCTCTTGCAGCCAACCTTCAACCTCTGTCACATCGTCGTAATGTTGCTTCTCTTTCTCTTTTCTACAAATACTATAATGGGCACTGCTCTAAAGAGCTAGCGTCTCTTGTGCCATCTACTAAAATTCATTCTCGTGTTACTCGTCATTCAATTAAGTCTCATCCTTTTTCTGTTACTGTTCCTAAGTGCTCCAAAAACTCTTATTCGTCTAGTTTTTTTCCTGGAACATCAGTTCTTTGAAATTCGCTTCCTTCATCTTGCTTTCCTGATTCATATAATTTGCAATATTTTAAGTCGTCTGTCAATCGTTATCTTGCTCTCCAATCTTCATCTTTTCTCTTCCAGTAACTTCCAACACTAATTAGTGGTTGCTTGCAGCCTTGTTGGAAGCGAAGATAATTAAAAAAAAAAAATGTAATGGAAAATGCAAGTCAATTAAGTTTAAGAAAATATGTCCAATTTTTGTTATTACATTTTTACTGTAAGGAAGGTTAAACCATATAATATTTCTTTTTCGTTTATTAGTAATAGAAGAATTTAGATTTGAATGATATTGGAGAATGGTGTGAAATCATATCATTATCATATATATGGCATTTTTCTTCATGAATAACCAGTCTAACGGTATGAATAATATTAATAATAATAGTAATAATAATACCAGTTTTAGTTTTTATTCTTATTAACACACCGCAATGTCCACAACAGATTAATGATATGCGTGCATTTGAATGCGATTTGTTCATATTAATTAAAAACATACAGTTTAGGATTGTTCCATGTAGCTTTCAAAATAAATTAAAAAAAGACATTTCTACTATTCGAAAATCAACGTATATTTACACTCACGCTAACAAAATATCAAACTTATATAAATTATCAAAAGATGAATACAATAAGTTATTAATGAACGCCACTACATCTAATTATAAAAAAACCAATTCTATAATAAAAGATCACATTAATAAAGAAGGAAAAACTATTCTTAAAAATCATGAAATTTTTAACAAAATCACTACAAACAGTTCTTCCAATGGTTTCATTACATTAAAAGACCATAAACCTAATTTTTTAAATAATCCTACTGTTCGTCTAATTAACCCAGCTAAGAATGAGGTTGGTAGAATAAGTAAGCATATTTTATCTGGTATTAACACCAACCTTAGAAATATTCTGCGATTAAATCGATTGCGATTAAATGCTCTTCCGCGGTGCTCTGTGATAAGACCGTAAGGACTTCTTGGGGCACCTTAATCAACTTAAAAAAAAAAAAAAAAAAAAAAATCAGTGGAATAGTACACAAAATGTAATTAATTGGTTCAAAAACATTAATGACAAACATTTTTAAAAATTCCTTATTTTCGACATCGTTGACTTTTACCCTTCTATTAATAAAAAGCTACTTATCGATTCCATAAAATTTGCAGAACAATACGTTTCCATTGATGCTGATCATAAATCTTTAATTCTTCACGCGCATAAATCTTTATTATTTACCAATGACCAAGTTTGGATTAAAAAATCAAGTGGTTTGTTTGATGTTACCATTTGATGGAGCGGAGGTGTGCAAATTAGTTGATATTTTTCTTCTTTTCCAGATTTTGCAATTTTATAATAAAACTAATTTTGGATTATATAGAGACGATGGCTTAGCCGTATTTAAAAACGCAAGCGGTCCAAAAATGGAAAAAAATAAGAAGCATTTTACTCAAATATTTAAACAAAACAACCTCAGTATTTCCATTCAATCTAATATTAAAATTGTTAATTACCTTGATGTTACATTTAATCTTAATAACAACACTTTTCAACCTTACCATAAACCTGATATTACGTTAAATTATATCCATTCTAATTCCAACCATCCACCAAGCATTTTAAAACAATTACTAATCTCAATTGGACATAGGTTATCTTCCAATTCTTCAAGCGAAAAAATATTCCAAAAGACTGCTCCAATTTATAATGACGCATTAAAAAAATCTGGATTTCACACCATTCTTTAATATCATTCAAATCTAAATTCTTCTATTACTAATAAACGAAAAAGAAATATAATATGGTTTAACCCTCCTTACAGTAAAAATGTGATAACAAAAATTGGACATATTTTCTTAAACTTAATTGACTTGCATTTTCCATTACATCATAAGCTCCACAAAATATTCAACAGAAACACAATAAAAATCAGTTACAGCTGCATGGCAAATATTCGATCAATAATTAATTTATACAACCAAAAAATTTTGCGCAACAAACTTATCGATAATGATATAAACTGCAACTGCATTAACCCTTTCATGCTCTAATTATCATCCCATAATAAAAAAAATTTAAACTAAGTTTTTTTGAACTTTATTTAAGTCAATGATAAATAAATAAAAAAATTAAAAAAAAAAATGATTTCAATGTGTCATTTGAATTTGTTGTTATGGAACAAAACTGCCCGCCAACGGTTAGTTTTAATAAACAAACAACTTTGCGTTTTAGCAATATTAATGCTACACTACATTTATTAAAAGAGTAATAATATTAAAATAAAAAAAACAGTCAAAAAGAGTGTTAAAAAAAGTCAAATAGGGATATTGAAAAACAACAAGAAATAACTAATTATGGATTAAAACATTAAATATTATTAATCAACTCCATGAAACTTATTAAAACAGTTTCTTCCTTTTAAAAGACATAAGTTTATCTTGCATTTCATACATTGAATAAAAGTAAAACCATTTTTACACTGCCTTCAGCGACTTTGTTTCTCTTGAAATACTGGGAAATGGCAATACATATCAAATCTTATATCTCTAGAAGGGTTTTCAATGTTGGGTGGGCGTCTTTTTGTAGCTACTTTATTTTCTGCAGCAAGTGATGGGCGCCCACGCTTTGCAAGTAATAAAGTTTTACCAGCTTTACACAAACTGTCTCCAATTTGTGTTCGAAATTGTAACAGTGATAGCTGATTCTTGGTAGGAACATGTTGTTGATTCATATGACGACAATAAAGAAGACAACTATTGTTTACAGATATGCAGATACAGTAATAAAAAATATGCATATAATACTTTACGGTGCGCTGTCTCACACTGTATGTTTCTAGCAGCATATCACATAAATCAACTCCTCCCATATGAGCATTATAAATTTCAACTATCTTGGGTTGATCAATAGTCACAAATTTTTTATCTTTTTTTGACCACCTGTTAGCAGGAGTACCTGGTTCATTTCCTACATAATTTGAGATGAGTTGCACAATATTATTATCATACCATCTTACAATACAAATTCCTGAATTAACATCAACAATACAGTCTGTGGAGCCTCTTCCAGCTTTTTTGAAATCTTTTTCATTAAGTAACTTTTTACTAGCATCCTTTAAACGATCTTTACGGATTGTTGCTACAGCCAAAAAAATTTTCTCTTTGAGCAACCGAAGAATATCGATAGATAAAAAATAGTTATCAAAAAAGATTTTGTAGTCAACACCACTAGGCAAACTTTGTGTCAAGCGATAAACCACATTGCCTCCCATTAATAAACCTGGAAGTTCATCTTTATTCAACAAACATTTTCCAAAATAAGTCTCAAAATCGTATACAATTCCGGAAACACCGCATCTGGCCCATACTTTTATTCCCCATTTATGGGGTTTTTTAGGAAGATATTGTCTTAGAAAAGATCTTCCTTTTGTTGGCAAAATTTATTTATTTATCAAATGACTTTCTTCTTGTGGAATATTTTTGATGTTTTTTAAAATAAGTTGAATAGGCGGTCGCACTTTGAATAATTTGTCATAATTAGGTTGGTTTGAGGGAAGCGATTTACTATTATCTGAAAATTGCAAATAGCGTTTTATTTTCTCAAACTGCCTTGAAGTCATGACATCAGCTATATTTGGTATACGAGTTTCATTACTCCAGTATAACCTCTGATGTGGAAGTTTAATTATTGACATCAAAACTAATATGCCAACATATTTTTCGATATCACCGTTTGTCACTGCTATCGATGTACCAGTCAAATTTGCACTATATAGATTTGTCTGTTCTACAATTAGATCAAATATTTCAGAACTAAAAAGTTTTTTAAAGTACTGATAAGGTGTTAGTTCTGTATAAGGTGATTCTGGAAAAGGCTCACCATTAAAAGCATCAATTTCTTTTGGGACAGAAACTTTACGCCAATGATGTACATGATTGAAAAATTTATTTGCTGAAGTTATTTTATTAGTGAAACTTTCATCATCAGAACTTTCATCAACAATAGACTCAGATTCTGAGCAAGTAAAATCACTGTACATGAACAAATCTTTTTCATAATTTGCACCATCTAAATCACTATTACTGCTATCACTATCAACATCGCTCTCATCAAAATTTATGACCAAAGCATCTATAGATACTAAATGCGTTTTAACTTTTCGTTTGTTTTTAGAAAAATAAAATTTTTTTATAGGTATCATTATTTATTTAGCTTTAAGGTCTAAAAAATAAATAACTAAAAAGTTTATCAGTTTATATAAACATGTATGTATATATATATATATATATACATATATATATATATATATATATATATATATATATATATATATATATATATATATATATATATATATATATACATATATATATATACATATATATATATATATACATATATATATATATATATATATATATATATACATATATATATATATATATATATATACATATATACATATATATATATATATATATATATATATATATATATATATATATATATATATATATATATATATATATATATATATATATATATATATGTATATATATGTATATATATATATTAATATATATACATGTATATATATATACATATATATATATATATATATATACATGTATATATATATACACATATATATATATATATACATATATATATATATATATATATATATATATATATATATATATATATATATATATATATATATATATATATATATATATATATATATATATATATATATATATATATATATATATATATATATTTACTAAAATTAAGTATAAATCAATAACAATTTATTTTTTAATTATATTTTACCAAATAAATACCAAAAAATACTATTTTACATAACCAATCTTATCGCAAAAACAATAATAATAACGGATTGGATTTTTTACCATTAGCGTGCAGTGTTGTTGTACAACAACAAAATAATTTCATTGATTAGATTAAAAAGGTATAATTAAACAAAATAATGAATGAGTAGTAAGAACAGTACATTGTTAAGTTAATTTTATATATTTTTTTTCACAAAAACATCAAAATTATAAATCCTTTAAATTAATAGTAATTTGATGACTTCTAATAGCAACGTCTTCACCCATAAAAATCATTTTTAAAATGTCAGTTATGCAATGAAATAGCAAGGTTGACTTTTTCTTACGCCCTAATTAACTGTCCTTAATGAAAAAAATATTGTTTCAATCAGTTTGGATGCATTATCTGCTTTAGGTAAGCTTATTTTAATTTGTTATTCTAAAACAACCCGGCACATGAAAGGGTTAATAAAACCACATGCCCGTTAAATAATCAATGTCTATCAAAAAATATTGTTTATAAAGCCACTTTAGAATCACCTAATACCAGTCTTACCGAAAAATCCTAAATCAGAATTAGTGAAAACACATTCAAGCTCAGATTTGCAAACCATCTTAAATCATTTAATGCAACCAGGTATAGGAATGATACGGAACTTTCCAAGGAAATCTGGAAACTTAAAGACGCGGGTAACATGCAAAAAATTTTTACTAACTTTGATTCCGGCGATAAGCAAATATCAGATCACGTACAATTGACGTCAGATGCCGTTGCAACGCTAAATTTGTATTTTTCATAACGGTTTTTATTTTTTACTTGAATAATATGGCTGATGATTGCCTAATGGCATGAAACTTTTAGTTCCATCATAAAGTTATATTTTTTTCATTTAAATTATTTTATTATAATATGATCTATTTTTTTAAAAAAAGATATTGATCACTCTTAAACAGACAAGAGTTGTATTTCCAGCAGCATACAACATTTATCAATAAATAAATAAATAAATAAATAAATAAATATATATATATATATATATATATATATATATATATATATATATATATATATACATATATATATATATATATATATATAAATATATATATATATATATATATATATATATATATATATATATATATATATATATATATATATATATATATATATATATATATATATATATATATATATATATATATATAATCTCAATATTTAATGCAAAAACAAACAAACAAACAAACAAACAAAAAAAAAAAGTTCGAAAAATTACATCAGTTTTCATCAGTATATATGTAATGTCAGTATATAATATATAATATGTAATCTAAAAAATATTATCGTTTAGATTACAATTCTTTAACTATTTTGTGGAATAGTTAATAATTTAAAAATTTAAAAATATGTTATCAATTGAAAAAGTTATTAAAAAAGATTTAAGATTTAAATTATTATTAAAGATTTAAGTTTAAAGGTTGCCTTAAAGTGTACACACATCAACTGATATAGCCGTAGGCGAAGCAGAGGATGCTTCCTACTGATTTAGGAATAAGCGCAGCAAAGTCTAAATCCAAAGACTGACTTGAATAGGGATGATAAAGTGAAGTGTACATGGTAGATTGCTTCAATGATTGACTTAAATAGGGTTAGACCTGCATAGAGTGTACATAAATTGACTGTGGGTTTTGGTTTGGGCAGGCAATCTATATTCAGAAAAAAAAGTCTTCTTTTTTTCATACTAGCGTAAAAAAAGTTATAAACGTAAATTAAATAAATAAATACTAGTATACATAATTTAACTTGTTTTTCTAACACCAAAACTAACAAACTAACCAAATCACTTTTTATTACATTCAAGTTGTTTGTATTTATTACATTCAAATTGTTACTCGCGCTATAGGCAATTAGTCTCAGAATTATTTCCCGGTACTGCCGGCAATTACTGCCTAAAACAATAAGAAAAAATATTATTAAAACAACAATAATAGTAATGTTTATTTTATCACATTCTCTTCAGCATCTTTAAGTTGTTCCATTGTTTAAAAGTCTAACTGATTAAAAGTTGTGCGCTTTCGAGTTTATCGTTTTGGTAAAATACCACTTTCAATCTTATTGAACGTGGCAGGTTGAGACCCACTGGATGACGAAGGTCAAGACTCACTGGATGTCGAAAGAAAATCCAAAAGTTGATGTTTTATATAAAACAGTAAACAAAGACCTTGCAAAACAAAATGAATGATTTATAGCAAATAAATTATCTGTATATATATATACATATATATATATATATATATATATATATATATATATATATATATATATATATATATATATATATATATATATATATATATATGTATATATATATATATATATGTATATATATATATATATACATATATATATATATATATATATATATATATATATATATATATATATATATATATATATATATATATATATATATATATATATACATACATATATATATATATATATATATATATATATATATATACATATATATATATATATATATACATGTATATATATATATATATATATATATATATATATTTATATATATATGTATATATATATATATATATATATATATATATATATATATATATATATATATATATATACATATACTCTTTTCTATCGTCTTCATGAAAGAGAACTCATTTATTTAAAACTTCCTAATCTCTTTGTTACTAATTCTTGTATCATAAGAGAGAGAAGGAGTTCATTGATGTTTTTATGTCTTGTTTCAGATGAAAATGTGACTTGGAGGGAGCACATAAATCTAACATAATCTCAAACAAAATTTCAAAAAATATTGGGCTGCTATACAAAGCGAAGCAATTGTTAGACCAAACCTGTTTAAAATGTACTTATTTTTCTTTTATTCATTGCTACCTAAATTATGCAAACGTTACCTGGTATAGCACTATCGTAACTAAAATAAATAAACTGCTTAAGCAAACAAAAGCATGCTTTAAGAAATGTAGATTTCTCACTCACTAAATTGTTATTTATTAAATTTAATATTCTCAAAGTATTTCAATTTAACCTTTATCATATTTTTATTCTTATGTTCAAAGTTGATAAAAAAAAACCCACGCCCATCATGTTTAACTCAATTTTTAGAAAAATAAATCACTTATACCCAACACGTTTTTCAGTAAACAATTATATTCAACCTAAAATCTATTATTCTGTTACTAAGTTTTTAATTGCAAATAGAGGTCCTAAACTATGGAACTTTTAAAAAATGAGCTAAAAATCATTTTTTCTTTTAAGCATTTAAAAAAAAGAGTTAAGCAAAACCTTTTGATAAATGATATTTATATACAAAGATTTTATACCTTCTCATCAACTTTTTTAAAGCTTTTGATTAGGAGTGATCACGTTTGTTGTATTCAA